ACAAGGCAGCTCACCACCACCTTGTCAAGGGCAACCAGGGATCAGAATAAATGCTGGACTAGTCAGCAGTGCCTACCCATGAGTGAAAAAAATAACATGCATTGCAAAATGCTTTGCTACTACATCCTTGATAATACATTCCAACATTTTCCCAATGATATATGTTGAGTTAATTGGTCTATAGTTACCTGCTTTTTGTCTCCTTCCCCTTTTAATTAAATTTGCTAAATTGGCAGTCTTCAATCCTCTGGACTTCTTCAGAATTAAAAGATTCTTGGAAGATTATTATCAGTGTCTCCATTATCTCTGTAGCTACTTCCTTTAATATCCCAGGATGTAACCAATTGGGGCCAATGGACCAATTAGCCTTAAGCACCATCAGCTTCCCTCATACCTTTTTTTCTCAAGTAATAGTTATTCTATTCATTTCTTTCTACCTTCTGCCCTTGTTAATTTGGTATTTTTGGAATGTCAGTAGTGTCTTCTACTGTGAAGACTGTTGCAAAGTAGTTATTTAGCTCTTCCGCTATTTCTCCTTTCCCTCCCTCACCACTTCATCTCATCTCTGTCCCATACACACTCATCACAGCCTTGGACAAAAGCACTAAATTCCAGATGTGAGGTGAGAGTGACAGCCTTTTATATCAAGGCTGTATTTGACTGACTGTGTGTAGCATTAAGGAGCCCTAACAAACAGGGACAAACTCTCCGGTGGTTGGAGTCATAACCTGGCACCTAGGAAGATGGTTGTGGTTGTGGGAAGTCAGTCATCTCAGCTCCAGTATATCTTTACAAGAGTTCCTCAAGGTCATGTTCTGGGCTTAACCATCTTCAACTGTTTCATCAATGACCTTCCCTCCATCATCAGGTCAGGAATGGGAATGTTTGGTAATGACTTTGCAATGTTCAGCACCATGTGTGACTCGTTGGATACTGAAGCAGTCCATATTTAAATGCAAAAAGAGTAAACCCAGACAATATCCAGGTTTGGGCTGACAAGTGGCAAGTAACATTCATGCCATGCTAGTGCCAGGCAACGACCATCTCCAACAAGAGACAATTTATCCACCATCCCTCGACATTCAATGGTGCTACCATCACTGAATTCCCCCACAATCAACATCCTTGGGGTTACCATTGACCAGAAACTCAACTGAACTTGCTGTATAAAACAACGGCTACAAGACCAAGTCAAAGGCTAGGAATGCTGCAGTGAGTAATTCTCCTCTTGGCTCCCCAAAGCATGTCCATCACCAAAATGGCACATGTCAGGAGTGTCATGGAATACTCCCCACTTGCCTGGTTGCATGCAGCTCCAACAACATTCAGGAAGCTTGACACCATCCAGGACAAAGTCACCAGCTTGATCAGCACTATAGCAACAAGCATTCATTCCCTCTCCCACCAACACTCAGGATCAACATTGTTTACAAGATGCACTGCAGAAATTTGCCAAAAATCCTTGGATAGCACCCTCCAACTCCACAACCATTTCCATCTAAAAGGTAAGGGCAGCACATGCATGGGAACACCACTCACTGCAAGTTTGCCTCCAAGCCACCATCCTGACTTGGAATGTCACCGTTCCTTCACTGTCGCTGAGTCAAAATCCTGGAATTCTCTCTATAATGGGATTGTGGGCCTACCAGCAGCACATGGACTGCCGCGATTCAAAAAGACAGCTCACCACCACTTTCTTAAAGGCAGCTAAGAACAAGCCATAAATGGCAATCAGCCAGCAATTCCCAAATCCTATGACAGAATAAGAAAAACACATCCTCTCTCTCCCACAAAACACTCATCCTCCCTTGCACTCTCTCCTTCCTTCATGCTCTCTCGCTGTGTCCCTTCCTTCTCCCCTTGCCCAGTCTCTCTCCCTTCTACACATTCTCTCTCTTCCTCCCTCACACACTCTCTCTTCCTGTCTCTTATACCCTACCTCCTGTTCCTTCACACCCTCTCTCTTTTTCTCTCTCACCATTTGCCTCTCTCAGGCACACTCTCTCTTTGTCTGGCTAACTGAGCCTCACTCCACCCAGCAAGAACATCTTCATCCTCTGGACTTTGTGGCACACATTGTCTCCACTCTGACTTACACTTCTGTTTTTCCAGTTATGAAAGTATGTGCTTGCTGTTGCTGCCACTCCTCTTCCTCACAGCCTTCCCAAATGCACCACCATTTTGTGTTCCTTCAGTGTTCTAGCAGTAGAACAGCAAGAAGTTAATGTTGAAATTGGATAATTAGAATTAGATTTTATTGTCATGTGTACTTAAGTACAGGGATACAGGAGTACAGTGAAAAGTGTACAATGTCACCATTCCTGGCACCATCTTAGGTACAAGGTAGGAAAATAAGTAAATAGAGTTAAAAATTCAACATTAAAGTACTTGTATAAAGTACTTTAATGTTGAATTTTTAACTCTATTTACTGTATAAAGTAGAAAAATAAAGGAATGAAGTTAAAAGTTCAACATTAAAGTCATTCTTAAGTGCTTAGCCATGTTGGGCTCGCACTCCCCACATGGGTGCAAGCTCCTCCTTGCTGAGCTCGATCTTCTCTGCGTTAGGCATGCTCTCCCCCATGCTCTACGCCACCGCAGTGCTGGGCTCGATGTTCCCCACGCCGGGCTCAATCTCACCGCACAGCACCATAGTCAACTCCCTCCACTGCTGCTGCCGGGAAGAAACTTTGGCTCAGATGTGCTGGACACCTTGAAGCCACTGATCTCTCCACAGAAAGTAAATAGATTAAAGTAAGAAAAGAAAACTTTGGAAGAAAAAAAGGTATAAGGCACTTATTAGACCTCAGCTGAAAGACTGTTTACAGTAAGGGCACCACATTTGCAGGAAAGATTTGAATGCATTGGAGACAGTACAGAAGCAATTTACAACAATGGTTCCGGAAATAAAAAAACTTCAGTTCTGAGGATAGACTGAAGAAGTTGGACTGTTTTCCTTGGAGCGAAGAAGACTAAGAGATTCAGTAGATGTTTTTAAATTCGTGAGTGGGCTGGATAGTTGGGGAGGAACTGCTCCCACTCATAAAATACAAAAGAGTGAGCAGGCATAGATTTTGAATTGATGTGCAAAAGAAGCAAGGGTGATGTGAGAAAAACATTTTATCGCACAGTGACTGGCAGAAGGTAGAGTAGAGTTCTTTTTCAGGTTGAGATTGCCGAGCACTTGCAAGTGTGTAGTAAAACAGGATGGAGTCAGCTTGGCTTCGTCAAGGGAAGGTCATACCTGGCAAATCCATTAGAATTCTTTGAGGAAGTAATAAGCAAGTTAGACAAAGGATAGCTAGCATACGTGATCTACTTAGATTTCCAGAAGGTCTTTCACAATGTGCTGCACAGGAGGCTGGTAAATAAGAGCTCATACCCAGACACAAAAACAGAAGTTGCTGGAAAAGCTCAGCAGGTCTGGCAGCATCTGTGAAGAGAAATCAGAGTTAATGTTTCGGTTCCATTGACCCTTCCTCAGAACTGTTCCAAGGAAGGGTAACCAGACCTGAAACGTTAACTCTGATTTTTCTTCACAGATGCTGCCGGACCTGCTTAGCTTTTCCAGCAACTTCTGTTTTTGTTTCTTATTTACAACATCCACAGTTCTTTTGGTTTTTATTCAGAGCCCGTGGTGATAGGGGCAAAGTACTGGCCTGGATAGAGGATTGGTTGACTGGCAGATGTGTTTTTTTCAGGATGGCAGCGACGTTCCACATGGGTCTGTGTTGGGAACACAACTATTCATGTTAAACATTAACAATCTGAATGAAAGAACTGACAGCATTGTTGCTAAACTTGCAGATGACACAAAGATAGATGGATGGACCGTTTCTGTTGAGGAAGATGACAGGCTAGGAGATTGAGCAAAGAAGAGGCAGATGGAATGCAACGTGGGGAAGTGTGAGGTTCTACATCTTAGTAGGAAGAATCGATGTGCAGACTATTCTCTAAATGGGGAAAGACTTCAGAAATCTGAAACACAGAAGGACTTGGGAGTCCTGGTTCTGGCTTCTCTTGACTGTTAACATGCAGTTTCATTTGGCAGTTAGGAATTCAAAAGCAATACTAGCACTCATTTCAAGAGGGCCCTATATTTAAGGAAGGATGTGCTGGTGTTGCAGGGGGTCCACAGAATGAAGGTTTGCAAGAATCATCTCAGAGATGAAGGGCTTGTTGTATGAAGAACAGTTGATGATCATGGGTCTGTACTTGATAGAGTTTAGAAGCTGAAGGGGGATCAGTTTGAAACTGTAGGAATACTGAGAAGCCTGGATGGAGTGGACCTGGAGATATTTCCACTTTATCATGGAGCAGGTCAACTCAGCCTCCTACCCCCGGGGCAATACGATGGTTCAATTGTTAGCACTGCTGCCTCAGAGCACCAGGGACGTGGGTTTGATTCCAGCCTCAAGAGACCGCCTGTGTGGAGTTTGCATATTCTCCCCATGTCTGTGTGGGTTTCCTCCCACAGTCCAAAGATGTGCAGGTTAGGTGGATTGGCCATGCTGAATTGTCCATAGTGTCCAGAGTGGGAAATGCAAGGATAGGGTAGGGGGTGGCTATGGGTGGGATGCTCTTCGGAGGATCGATGTGGACTTGATGTGCCGAATAGCCTGCCTCCACACTGTAGGGATTCTATTCTATGATTCTGATCGATATTGGATTTAACTGCAATCTGAGTTTTCAATGTCACGACTATGATTGCCAGCGTAGACCGAAACAAAACAACAGAACAGACCACACCACACAGAGCGCGCAGGCGCAGAGCGGTATCGCCCGGTGTCTAGTGGCGCGCAGGCGCATAGCTCAGGCGGCAGCGGCACGCAGGCGCAGAGGGGATTTTTCAGGGGTGTCGGGCTGAGGGTGGATCTCGCGTGATCTGAAGCCTGGCCTTTAAATTTATTTTCCCATTGGATGACCCTTGGTGCAACGTCACTCCCTGCAGGGTCAAACAGTAAATTATATTTAATTTCCAGATTACAGGTTAAAATGAAGTGCGTGGGAAAGGTGAAGTCGCTCAGTTGGTGATGGGAATGGCAGTATCCTGTTTGCCCAGTGCCCTGTTTTATTGACTGAGATGGAAGTTTCTACTTTGTTTTTGTCCCTGATTTTTATTTTCGTCCTGACGTCATTGAAGCGACCAGCCCGTGTCGTCATCACGTGGTGCCTGATGTCGCTTAAGTTTAGAGATTGTGGAGGCGCTGGAAGAGTTTGAAGATTAATTTTGAATATAGAAAGGAGCTTTCTCTCTGTCTCGCTTTGGTTGCATCTGTATCTGTTGTTGATGATGCTTTGTCCTTCCTGTGTTTGCAGTTTTTTCTCGCTTTCAAAACGGCCAATTTCCTAAACCTTTTCATTCATTCCGCTTTCCCAAATATTTACAAACGTGGAGAATTTCTGAGGCCTAATTGTCGCTATTTGTAAACAAGAATAAGAAACAGTTGTTTGTTGATTATACTTCACTTTTTGCTGCCAAGTTCTTGAAAGAATTTTCTTCTATTCAATTTGAGCATTAGTGAACGTGCCATTAATTACATCAGAGTATTGCTTCATGTAACTCAACTTCACTGTTATGCCGCGGGATATCTGCAACAGTAAGTGTATACTTCACATTTTTAGATGTGTCTTTTAAATATAGCTTTTCATACTGACTCTTGTTTGAATATTACTTAATACGCTGTTTGTTTAAATATGCTAAGAGTTAATTTTGAAATTGAGCCCAACTAATTTGTTAAGCCTTCAGTTTTGTGGGGTTGTGGCCTAAAACCATTGCAAAATGTTGTTTCTAACGTTAACTTAAACTTTTTAAACCTGTATAATATTTTTGTCTTTCTTTGTGTAAATTTAAAGAAATGCATTTCAATTGTTGCTAGCAAATGAAGAGATTAAGGTACAGTTGGAGTAAAAACACTCGTTTTGGTTACAAGGATTGTGGCTAATTGGGAATTCTGAGCTAAAAAGTTTATAAACTTCTGTAAATAAAAATTTAGCATATGAGTTGAGTTCAACTTATACCTTTAAAACCTGCATCTGAAGCTTTTTGGTAACTAGTCTTAATGTGCTTAGACTTGCTGTCAATTTTTAACCTAGCTTTGCTTCTGTGGGGTGAGCTTCTTGCATTAAAGCTATGATATGAATGCTGTATTATCAGAAGAAGAGGGAATTTATGTTAATATGGAGCCATGTTAACATGAATGGGTGTCATCTTTGTCAAATCTCTGGTGTTTGAAGATGCAGAGTAATTGTCACATGAATTTCTGAAAATCATGTATGCTAGCTGAAATGATTTAATTGAAGAGGTATGAACTAGTGAGGAGTATGGACTGAACTGAATTTGTCAGCACAAGGCTTTTTTTTGTTGTACTGCTGTGGTGTGAAGAATCAGAATTACGGGAGAAATTAAGAATGACTTGGAGTTTGAGAAGTATCGTGTGCCATTGTAGTTGAATGCACCAATTCCCCCCTCCTTTGGCATCTAAAACGATGCAAAGTGTTTATTTATTAATTTTCTAAGGATGCTCTTGAAATGGATTCCACCCATCTCTTAACTTTCAGCTAATGGTGGTCACTAAATGAATGGTTACACTTAAAAGGTGAAGTGATGGTTAGCATAAGAAATAATAATAGAAAAAAATTGAAGTGGTATATTTGGTGCTACTTTTCTGAACTTGCTGTGAAGAGACCTTGCTGGAAGAATGTACAGAGAGGTTTAATCTGGCTGCATTCTGTTTGAAATGCTGGATGCTGACACCTGCTGCCAACAGAGGGAAAAATATTTTGTTTATTAGCAGTATTATTGACGTTCCTCACGTTGAGTACAAATGTCCTATTGATGTACATGAGTGAAAATAATATGTATTGGTAGAGATAGTAGGAACTGCAGATGCTGGAGAATCCGAGACAACAAGGTGCAGGGCTGGATGAACACAGCAGGCCAAGCAGCATCATAGGAGCAGAGATTGTATTGTATTGGTAGTCTCTTTTCTATTTACAATATCCAAGTTTTCAAATGAGAGTCCAGTATCAGATTATGTTGATGTTGAGCATTTAAGGCACCTGGTCTATTTGTTTGAAGTGTTTTCTATTAATTTGTGCAAACTGCCACTTTTGACAAGTGACAGTTCACATTCATTCCTACCAGGTCTTGAAGAACTTGGAGGATGGCATGTTGGGAAGGATATATTTTGCAATTGGTGATTGTCAGCATGATATCTTTGTGGTTTTATGTCTTTAATAAATGTATTTTATCTACGTGTATTGATGAGGCGCTGTTGATTTCCATCAAGACTTTGATATTAGTTGTTCAAACTAGATATACATGAATATCCCTGTAGAAACTGCATCCATGGTGAATAAGTGGGCCTTCGATTTTGGGTAAATTGTATGACAGTATTCACATTTAAATTTCTGTAAGTATGAAAGAAAATAGCTGTATTCAATATCTGTTCACCTCGTTTTTTGTAGTTCTGACAGGTGCAATATTTGTGTACCTTCTAAAACTAGAAAGAATACAAGTTTTACTGAGAACCAAAGCTTCATTATTATTGATTTTTTTTTTTAAAATGTCCACACACTAGACATAATTAACTGTCCAGTCTGGTAATAATGGTTGTCTACTACTCATTGCATTTCCTAAGGCACACTGCAATTATTTCACTGCAAAGAAAGCACTTTGTGTAAAATTCTCACCAACAAATCAGATGAACAAGGTACTTTGAATTCCTTGAAAATGTCTAATTTCCTTTCATGTGCATTTCTACAGTTTTCAAACCTTTTATCAGGTTCATACAGCAATAAATGCTGATGCGGTTAAAACTGGTAAAATGAATCTTTGAATGACCCTTGGGTTGTGCTGCGATGAAAAGAAGCAGAGTCGTGTGGTGCTGTTGCTGGGAAGTTCACACTGTGGAATTGCTCCCTTTTGGTGAAGAAAGGTACATTGATAGATCCTGAATTATGATAAGACAATAATGCACTGATCTGTTGCTAGCCTTTGTTTTTTAAGAATGAAAAATTAGAAAATAACAATGAAAAATAAATAGGTTAAAATAGGTTTTGTTTATTCTTTCTGTTACATTGGGGAAACAGAACTGAACTCAAGATAATCATATGTGTTTTACACTTGTAGGGATCTGCCATGAGGTGTTGATACCTTATTTTAAAACCCTGAGACATAGGACCTAAATGGCGCAGCATGACTTTGCTCCAGCCTGGCTTAATTTTCCAACTCCACCTTCATCAACTAAGGTATTAAAATACACCATTTAACCTTTGCATTTTCAGATGTTTGAACAGCTCACTTTTTTTGGTTCACGATATTTGTTTTACAAGGATTCATTTGTGTACCAGTGGAATATTAAATTCTTTATAACTGCAGTATGTAAGAATGTTTTTTCTAGTTGAGGACAAATGTTGCTTGTGCTTTGTTTTGTAAACTGATTTTAATTGGACTGTCTTGACAAGTTGTAATAAGGATTTTTTAAAAAACAACAAAAAAGATGTTATTTCCTTTGTAATAGATTAACTCTTGAATTCTCAGTGACTACTTTACTTTCCATTAATCAAGTGTTAAACCTTGTTTTTCAATATAAATTGGAAGGCACTAATTTCTATTATTAGACAGAGAACATAAAAATTTCAGAGCATAAATTGAAGCCATATGGCCTCTGTGTCTGTGTCCTCTTTTTGGTAGAGAATTTAAAACTAATGCAGTTTCCCCGAACTGTGTTTTTACTTTCTTCGAACTCAGTTTTCCTTTAAATGATGCAATCATGCTTCAACTGCTCAGAGTTGCAAAGAAATTCCAAGCTTCAATAATTCTAGACCACAAATTTAGAACCTGTGCATTGTTTGGAAGGTATATTAGCACTAATTGATTAACATTCCAAAAATGTAATACAAATAAACTGTTCATTTTTGGTCTGGCTGGTTGTAACTAGCAGGGAACCACAAAAAGTAACATTTTAGACTTCACCTATTATGTTATTATGTTCCATCTTTAGGTGAGGGAACTAGTCACGTTTAATCAAGTGATGGCGGGTGTCGGGGGTGGGTAGCTGATAAGAAAATCAACTGAGGAGTCTGAAAAGAATACGAGAACAGCAGAAATGGGATAAGGTGTAAACATTTGGCCCATTGTTCTTGCTTTGCTGTTCAATAAAGTCATGCCTTGATCCACTCAGATAATCCCCAGTATCACGTCTTTGGCTTACGAGCTGTGGTTGAACAGATAGGTACTCAGTGGAGTTTAGAAGAATGAGGGGCGATATCATCAGAATGTAGGATCCTTAAGGGACTTAATAGGGTAAATGTTGAAAGCAAGGCTTTCATCGTGGGAGAGTCTAAGACCAGAGAACATAGTCTCAGAATAAAGTGGTGCCAATTTCAGACTGAGATGAGGAGCAATTTCTTGTCGTAGCAGGTGCAAGTCTTCGGAGGTCCTTGCCACAGAGAGCTGTGGGGGCAGAGTTCTTGCGTACATTTTAGGCTGAGGTAGATACTTGATGAGTAGGGGAATCAAGGGTTATGGGTTAAGGGCAGGAAAGTCTCTAAGTGAGGAGTGCTGGATCAGCCGTGATCTTATTGAATGGCAGAACAGGCTCAGGACTGAATGACCCAGTTCTGTTCCCTTTTTTTTTGATGGTTTCTGTCTTTTTAACCCACCCTCCTGTAGCCCCTTTCATTAATGTTTATCCTTTTGTTTTTCTCGCAGCTTGTTTTCTCTCTCAAGTTTGTATCACCAGCAAATGTGGGTACGTTACACATGGTTCCCATATTTGAGTCATTGCAGATTATAAATATCTGCATTCCAATGATTGATTCCTCTGGTACCCAATGGGCTACAGTTAGCAATCCTGAAAATAATCCACTCCTTGCTTACTATTTTTGAATTGTTAACTAATCTTTATTTGGTGCTAATATAATACTCCCGATCCCGTGAATGCTAAATGTGCACTGTCTCCCTTATGAAATGCTTTTTGAAAATCTAAATGCACAAGATACATTTTGTCTTCTATCTATCCTGCATTTTCAGTCTCAAAAACGCTAAAAAAATTTGTCAAGGCATTTCCTTTTCAAAAATGTTCTTGTGTCATTGATTCTTTTGACAGCCTCCTTACATTAGTGACCTCCTGGTTCTTTATCTTACAAGGCTTACGAGGAGGTGAATGATGATGAGTGCTTTTCTTTGCTTTTAACCACAAACAACATTTCTGCAGCAGAATTGTTTGGATATGCTTCCATTAGCTACATTATCTACTATTCCCATGATTTCCTGGCTGATCTTCCACATTCCACACTGCAGCCTTCAGTTGATGCAAAATGCTGCCAGTATTCTTACAAAGACTCATCTTATGCTTGTGGCCAAATGTTGTCTTCTGATATCTTGAAGTTAATGTTCTTGTCTTGGTATCCTGATTGACATTGACATTTAAGATGTGGAGATGCCGGTGTTGGACTGGAGTGGCCAAACTTAGGATTCACACGACATCAGCTTACAGTCCAACAGGTTTATTTGAAATCATACGCTTTCAGAGCGCTGCTCTTTCATTAGGTGAAGGAGCAGTGCTCCGAAAGCTTGTGATTTCAGATAAACCTCTTGGACTAAACCTAGTGCCATGTGAGTTCTGACTTGATTCAGATTTGAGTATTGGGTCTTTCTCCTTGCCATTTCTTTAATTGCCTCTTGCCTTGAATCTCTAAGATCTTTGGTACTCCAAATTTAGCCCTCTTGTGCATCCTAAATTTCATTTTGTCCACCGCTGAAGGCTGTTCCTTGAGCTACTGAGGCCTGAAGCTTTGAAATTGTTCCTAAAACCCATAAAATGTTTTGTTTTTGTGACTCCATCTCAAAGTGTCAATGCATGCCTGTGAATTCTCGAAGTATGTAAGTACTTTTTGCTGTAATCACTGTTCCCCGGATCCATTTATTGGTTGTGAAAGTATTACTCTTTCATCTGGTTCATTGAATCATTTGTACGTTCTGAATGTAAAAAGGATGGGTTTCTGTTTTTGCAATGAAGAAAGTAGGCCCAAAATGTGCTCGAGATGGTGTTGACTCAGTTGGACTTCAATTTGCAGTATCAAAGATAGAATTTTACATGAAACAGTGCATTTGTGTCATGTAACAGAATGTAATTCTCTTCCAATGCAAAGTTGTCTTTGTATTTAATATTGATAACCTGTTGTAGTTTCCTTAATACAGTTGAGAATGAATTTGTTGACACAAATAAACGATTGAGATTGTGCAATTCTTCTGAGTTACTAAACTTAATTCACTGAAAATGATTCGAAAAGATGTCTAGTGAAGGGCAGTTGTCTAATTGGATGATTCTGTCAATGTGCTAATGCCTAATACAAATTGAGTGGCTTTCTTTGTATAACTCAATGATTCTCTGAGCCACTTAACTGGTGAAAACTGATCAGCTTCTTGAAAAATTAAATTTTTCTTGATTTATGAAAAATCATTATCTTAAACATCTAGTACCAAAGAGAGAGCGTATTTAGGCAGCCTTTCTAAATCAACAGGATCTCTGAGTTTCTGAGGTTTTGTGACTAGTTTTTTTGCTGGGGCCTGATTTGAATGAATAGCTTTGAAACAGTAAACGATTGTGGAAACCATCAGTATATGTGGGTTTTGGTGTAATTAAATTGTTGTGTTTTCTGAACTTGTGTATGGATTTGACTGTGGTGGAACCTTAAAGGAAAACCAGCAGATAATCTACCCTTTTTTCCAGGTCCTTTTCTAAAATTTCTGTCTGTCTACTTGCATTTCAAATAATATCCCTACTAATCCCTTTTTTTAAGCTAGCAAAGTATTGGAATGCAAGATCCATAAGTGACACTTCTTGATTGCCCTATCTGTTTTATCAGTATTTTATTCCATTAGTTAAGAGTAAGGGGCTAGACATGACTTTGTTTGCTTCAAGTAAACTGTAAGAGGATGTTGGAATATTCAAACTTTCTTTTTTTTTTTTTGAAAACATAGTCTGTCTTTGTCTAATATACTGCTAAGGAGTTTTTTTTTCTTGTAAGTGAGTTAGCTGGATCTTTAACGTAAAAGTGAAAACCAGCAACATTTTACATTAAAATGTTGTGAATGTATTCACTTATGTAGATGTTGATAGTTTGAAAGGTCATTCAAAATAACACCTGCACCTGGAGTGAAATTTAATGCATTTGTAGAGTGTACAAGATTTCAATCCCCACAACTTATATTACCATTTGCAATCTTAATGCTGAAAAGTAGTTATGCTTATTTCCACGGGTGTTATTTGGTTTCTGTTGAATTAACCCAAGTGTAAAATGTTTTCCTTCACTCACTTATGACCACTTTACAGAGATTGATGCTATTTGGCGTGCTTCATACTTTAAGACAAAAAGTTAAAACAAAGCATTTGTTATTGATTTTGGTCAGATTTTTCATGCACTGTTTAACATAGTACAGAAGTGCTATTGTGTATTCTTTGAGACCTCTTTCTTACATGGTAGACTAATTTTCCAACAACTTCATGAATAGCAGGCAAAACAAAGGTGGGTTTTAAATGGGAGGTTGAGCAAAAATTACATTTCAACAAACTCCTTGCATTTTGTAGTATTCATCACTGACATTCAGGACATTGCACAATAATATGAATTGGACAGAAGTGTTAACCAAATGACACTGTCATCTGAATGGAAATGCAGTCAAAAGGATGAGGGCCACATCAAAATGGAAATAAACAGGAACCATTGAGAATTCACTTGGAATCCTTGTTCAGAATACTTGGACACCCAGATGATGAATATTAGTGTGGTCTTGGTAATATTGTATCTTGCTAATTCTCTTTGTGACTTTGGTTTTTTTTTCCAAGGTTATTTCTACAATCTGATCACATTTTGGTTTCCTATCCAATAACTCCAGCTAACGTCTAAATAATTATTGTAATTGCATCAACATTGTAGTTGGAAATGCAACATACTTGTGTCCATCTTTGAAAACTAAAATTTAATCAGAATATTGTTTCAATGTGCACAGTGTTCTGTTACGTCTATTATATACATTCTTATCAATTGATGAAATAATTATGATGTCCTTCTCTCTGACATTGATATCAAGTCGCTTGTAAACTTAATCACTAAAATGTTTTCCGTTTTGAACACCTTTTACAGACTTTGGTTTCTCATTCTTTCATGCATTATCTTCTGTTGAGACATACAGCTTAAATGTGTGAATTGTATAAGTAAATAATACAGATCAGGATTCAAAAGGATTTGAAGTTGTCTAACAAGTCATTATTTCAGTCTTAACATGTTAAGTAGTTGTTGTTTCAGCTGTCAAAATGTCATAAGCTATGTTCAGACATGGTAATGTTTTGTATCACTTTGGTCACTGTGATGTGAAGGTGCTTAATCCTAGCACTAGATCAATTGAACGTTTTTTGTACTATGCATTATATTTGTCAAAACAGCCTGTCTGAACAGGTTGATTGAAATATTTGAAATTATTGGGAATGTTTCTCCATTTTTCAGTCTGTCTGGTATTTCACAACTGGGACCGGAGTTTGAGTAGCATTTTTTAAAAAATCTACTTTCAACCATCATTGGCCCTAAAGATATTTCAGTCACCCTGTATGACCTGTTATGACACATCAAGGTCAGGTAGGACTTGAACCTGGACCTTCTAGCCCAAAGGTCAGGGCACTAAGGGGTTTTTTTTTTTTTTTTTGCTTCCAGGGAATCATAAACCAAACAGACTGATTTGATCCCAACAAGAAAACCAATTTATTGAGGTTTGACTTTTGATTAATATTCAAACCAAAAGCAACACTGAATTTACACTTGAATTAGGCAAATTGCACTCAATCTAAGTTATTTCCTGACAGCGCGAACATAGAACAAAGATAGATGTCACAGGTTTAGTAGATAGTTTGCTTTGCATGTACAGACCATTTTCAAAGTCATAAAATCTACATTTACTCTGTTAGAATTCCAGCTCGCTTTTTCCAGGGCTTAGCCTGATCCCCAACCAAGAACAACTTTTTAGGCCATCCCAAGTTCAAATGGCATAGCCTTCACCAACAACACAGGTTTGTAGAATCCCCTCAAATCTGAACGCAGTGGTTAATCCATGTAGTCAAGACCCATGTCTGAGTAACCAAAACCATTGCAGCAGTTGTGTATTTGTCTACTGCAGTCTCCTGGCACCTCTTTCCATCCTCAGCCTGCACGTACTGTACCGAACCAATGAGATCTAAGCTTGAACAGTATTGTTAAACAAAATCTACTTTCAACCATTGTTGGAGATAACAAGGTGTAGAGCTGGATG